ATACTGCATGCAAGCATAGGGGCTTTGTGATGATATCTTACTATGACATCCGAGCTGCTCGAACTGCAATGCGTGCTCTACAAAATAAGCCCTTGAGACGAAGAAAGCTCGACATTCATTTTTCCATTCCCAAGGTTTGAATCCACTAAGACATATGCTAACTTGGAAAGACAATTCTAACTAATGTCCTTTGTTGTAATATCCAGGAAAATCCGTCAGAGAAAGATATTAACCAAGGAACTCTTGTCGTGTTCAACTTGGATCCATCGGTATCCAATGAGGATCTTCGGCAAATCTTTGGAGTGTATGGGGAAGTCAAGGAGGTATCAAGTTTACTTGATTGTTCACTGTTACTGCTATATTATTTTGTTGTTCTTGTGTTTATCCATAATTCTTGAACTTTTAAGCTTCACTAAATCATGTTGTATGCAAAATACAGATTAGAGAAACACCACATAAACGCCATCACAAATTCATCGAATTCTACGATGTCAGAGCAGCTGATGCAGCTCTTAAAGCATTAAATCGTAGTGACATTGCTGGAAAGCGGATAAAACTTGAACCCAGCCGACCTGGTGGAGCCCGTCGAAAGTACGTTCTGGCTCTGCTATAAAAAAATTGCATTTCTTTTCACTTTCCGGTGTAATTTCGCGATGAAATTTATAAGCTAGCATTTTTGCCCTAATTTACAAGTGCTTATGGACAGACATGCATGAGAAAAAGGAAGATAACTTAATGCAAAAGAAAGAAAGTGAAGCGAAAAGTAATCCCTTTAGTGTTTAGCATGCTAGCATTTCTTGGATCTTTTTGCATGTTGATCAGTGATGAATGCTCTGTTAGGAGCCTACAACCTCATTACTCCATTTGAGCGTAACTATTGACTGTCAAATTGTATCACTGAAAGTTGACTGGTGATAAGAGTTACTTTCTTTTTGGGTATTATCTTCAGTTAGTAGCCTGCAACACCATTGATCCGGTAATAAAAGAACACCACTGCTCCACTAATATGGATTTTGGACTTGACTTACTGTCAAAATATAGCTGCAAAAGTGCAATTCTGTTACAAATATGCTTGGTTATGTTATACTTGCGTTTCTGTTTCAAGTATTACAGGGTTTTTAACTGCCTCCTTCACATCTTTAGCCTAATAATTCTATGGATGAATTATGACAGATGGCAATGTTGCAGCCACATATTTTACTATGCCTTATCAGTTATATGTATTACTATGGTGCTATGATAATTTTTCTACTTTGTAATGTATCTGATGTTCGAATTTCTCTAGTGACTTCTCTGAGTTTAGTTCTTAAGGGTGAATTTTTATTTATTTTCACTTGTTGAATGTACTATAGACTGTTGGCCATGATTTTACTCATTCTATGTTTTTTATAGCATTGGTAATTTAGGCAGGTCTCTGTTACTTGTATCACGCTTGCATTTCCATGTGAAGATATTTGGCTGCAGGCCTTGTTCTAGGGTGATATTTGGACTCTTCCAGCACTCCCCTCGCCTTTCAAAAAATTTGCTTTGAATGTTACAAACAGCTGATGAGTATGAATCAAATACATATAAAGAACGTCTCAAAGACGCATTAGTGTATTCTCCAGCCTTCTCCTTTTCCCAAGAAATCTGTTATAATCACTCTCCTTCTGCAGAGGCTTATTGTTTTTGGTATATTATGCAAGTTGTTAACCAGTTAGGAAGAAACTTAATTTTCTTTTCATGTCTAGTTTGATGCAGCAACTAACTCAAGAATTGGAACACGATGAAATTCGATCATTTAGGCACTCAGTTGGATCACCGGTAGCCAGCTCTCCTCCAGGTATTTCCATTATCGTAATTGATGCTGTTTTTAATATTTCTTTAATTGTTGATTTAGTAGCATAACTGCTGATGTCAACCTGGGAGAGTCTGACCTGATAAATGATGTGATAATGGTGTTATATCTAACAGGCAGCTGGTCAAACTTCGGCAGTCCAGTTGAACCCAACCCGTTGCGAGGTTATAGTCAATCACCTGGTCTGAGAAATCTCAGCCCTGTAAATGGTAATCTTATGCCAGGGCTGGCCTCTATTCTTCCTGGACACCTTTCAAGTCCGAAGATTGCACCCATTGGTAAAGATCCTGCAAGGGTTGGCCATTTGAATCAGGTAACTTCTAGTCCAAAGTCATCTCAAGGAATGGGTTATCAGCATTCTTTTTCAGTCCCTGAGCAGAAACCGGCTTTAAGCATAGGATCTGTGCCATTTGGTAACTCTAAGGCATCCGGTACTGGAACGCTTTCTGGTCCACAGTTTCTTTGGGGTAGTCCCCCTATTCACTCAGAGCGATCCGACTCTCCTATCTGGCCAGCTTCATCAATGGCACGTCCATTCGCATCAAATGGACAAGGACAGGGCTATCTCCATTCCCGTAGGCAAAGCTCTTTCCTTGGATCACATCACGTGGGGTCTGCTCCATCTGGAAATCCTTTGGATAGGCATTTTGGTTTTTTCCCAGAATCTCCTCAAACATCATATATGAACCCACATGCATTTGGCAGTGGAGGTTCTAGTCATAACAGTGCAAATCAGGTGATGAATATAGGTAGCCTTGGAGCAATGAACATGGGTGGTGCTCTTACTGGGAACTTTACTGAAAGTGGTTCTCCTAGCTCTAGAATGATGCCATTGACAAGGAATGGACCTATATTTTTTGGAAATGGCTCATATGGAGGAGCAGGAACAGTTAATGGTGAAGGGCTGATTGAACGTGGTCGAAATCGAAAAATTGAAAGTGGTGGTAATCAGATTGACAACAAGAAACAGTATCAGCTTGATTTGGAGAAGATCATGAGTGGAGGAGATACAAGGACCACCTTGATGATTAAGAACATCCCGAACAAGTAAGAACTCTCAAAATTGTTCAACATTACTATTTAAAAAAAAAAAGAACTATCGAAATTGTAAATCATGTGCATTTTGGTAAGATTTTAACGCTTAATACTTTGTGTTTTTCTTCTTCATTTAAGATACACCTCAAAGATGCTACTTGCAGCAATTGATGAGTCTCATAAGAGTACATACGATTTTATCTATTTGCCAATTGATTTCAAGGTAGTGTACTTTTTTCATTTGTTGATATTTTTTGACAAGTTTATACAGAACTCTCCTCTAATCTCTAAACTTTGAGTGCCTTGTTTACGTTGAAGGTAGAACTAATTGTTTCACTGTTTTTCTGTTTCAGAATAAATGTAATGTTGGTTATGCCTTCATTAACATGGTGTCTCCTGCACATATCGTCTCCTTTTACGAGGTTGAGTTCTTTCCCAATTCCTTTTGGTGGTTTTTTTCTGGCGTGTAGCAAGCATAAACTTGTAATAACCACATGGTCCCTCCATCCCAGTTTATGTTGCAGTGTTTGACTAGACGCGGAGTATAAGAAAAAAAGGAAGACTTGTGGTGTAAAATAGGCCATAGACATCTCTGAGACTCAAACTCATCTAAGTGTAAATGAGAAGTTTAAAGTAAAATTGTTTTTAAATAAGGAAGTATGGCATTCTTTTGAAACAGGCTAAAAAAGGAGAATATGATGCATAAATTGGGACATAGGGAGTATTTATTTGGTGAAGATTTTGCAGCCATTGAATGTGGTGTATTTCTCTCTTTCAGGAAAATTTTGCATGTATATGTTTGTCTCCATAACTAATCTGGATGTTCTGTATATTCTAGAATGGCTATAATCTTAGAAACTTGTGCAGGCATTCAATGGAAAGAAGTGGGAAAAGTTTAACAGTGAAAAAGTTGCATCATTGGCTTACGCACGTATCCAGGGAAAGGTAGCTCTGGTTACTCACTTCCAAAACTCAAGCTTGATGAATGAAGACAAAAGATGCCGACCAATTCTTTTCCAGTCAGAGGGCCAAGAGGCAGCTGATGAGGTACTGAATTAGTCATAGAGTAGAGTGTAACTGAATAACTCCCTTTGTGGTGAATTAGCCTTGTTAGGCTTACGGAAACATCTAGATTGTCTGAAAAACAAGTCTATCCTCCATAACTGTTGTCCGCTAGCAGAAATAACATGGTGTTCATATGCTTATAAACTGATTGCTTTTTTGTTTTTTTCCAGGAAACGTTGCCATCCAGCAATCTGAATATTTGTATCCGTCGGCCTGATGGGTCATATTCAGGAGATTCTCTTGATAGCCCAACAAGCGATATAGATGGGAGACCAGAGCTATTCACTGGAAGCAGCTGACCCTCAACCGTGGCAATGGGTGTTCTAACTGTGAATAGAAATTCAAGTACATAATTTGTCAATGAAACCAGGAAACTGCATATAGTTACTTATGTGAGCTAGTTGTGTCTGCTTTTTGGATGGAGGACACTCTAGAGCATGTAGGACGAATTGTTACAGAGGCCGCGAGCATTTTGTTTATATGTAGAATGATGACAATTGATCTATTTAACAGTGGGGGAAAGTAAAATAAGGTTTTAAGCATTCAGCCAACTTGTGAAGTCTCTCTCTGCTGCTGATATGCTTTTGCCACAGTTTGGCTGTTATGCTTCTTGTTGTGATGAGATTCTCTTGACTAATGCATAATTTTTTATGTTATACTTGTGGGGCTGTTTCATAAGTGTATAGGATGGAGATTGACAGACCCTACATTTTTTCTTGAATCATGTAATGACTGGCTTACTGTTGTATTTATCACATTTGTGGTTAAACTGGAGCTTTTGTTGTCTATGGAAATCTGTGTTATATGTTATCGTGGTTGACGGACATTGTTAAGATAGTTAATTATGGAGCAAGGATATAAGATGTGTATTATCAATCTTTGACTTGTTTGGTATTGAGGCATAGTCGATGGTTCACCAGAGAAAGAACCTTTAGGGGGGGTTATGTTGCAACAACAATACGACTTTATTCACTGTTTGTGTTTAAATGTCAAGACTAGGTACATCCAGATAACAATATTGTTTATCTGAACCAATTTTTCGATTAAAATAGCAAAATGGTACTCTAGTGAACATATTATATAACATAACATGAAATACGTGAAATATTGTTATAGAGAACAGACGTGCAATTTGATAAGAGTTCCGTTAAATAGAGCTCACAATGACTGTCACAGAGTTGAGCAACAAGACAAGTTTCCGTTACAACAGCAAATCATGCCAGTGAACAAATTTTCAACACTCGTTTCACTATAACTGATCTTATCTAATGTTCTTTAGATTTGAAGAGCATCAGCTATTGATCCTGCCAAACTAATAACTTCAAATGGAGCCTTATTGGCGACGGCTTTCACAGTATGAGGACATGAATCTGTCGTCCAAAAGTAAGTGAATGCTTTCTCAGAGCCTACACAAGAAAAACATGGGCGATGTCAGAAACTCGGATGATAAGGAGATGCTGAAACTGAAAGGAAGGTGGATGTAGTTTCAGAGAGTTACTTACCATCATTCTTGTGAAGAAAACGCTCCCATGACCGGTTTGGGAAAATTCCATGGGTCACATAAGCACTAACTTTTGATGCACCATGAGAGGCCAAAACTTTCTGGGGTTAACCATAGCATCAAATTAGTACAGTATTAGCAACTTGTCATATGAACGAACTCATCAAAGTTGAGTGGCACCGCGCCTTTAGACAACAGTGCATTAGAAGGTAGAGGTGGACCTTAAAAGGAGATTTCTGTGACTTTAAGAATGCTGCTAGTTTTAAAGTGAATTGACTCTTACTGTGCATTCTCTAACTTCCTAACTCCTTTCCCTTCTTTTCTTGGTTTTCTAATTCAATAGTCCAATTTGACATGGATTGTTGGGATCCTTAAGTTTGCCTCACCCAGTTAGAAGGTATAAACCCCCGAAATCTCCTCATTGCTGAAGGCAAGAAGGTAAATAATGACACAGAGCAATCAGAACAATTACTCGACCAACCAAAGACAGATCCGTCTTACACCCCCATTAAAACTAAAAATCATATATTATTATAGGCATAATACATAAATATACCCTTTAACTTGGCTTCGAATCACATATATGCCCTTCAATTTTGAGTTTGCACAAGTAGACACTTAAACTTTATAAAATTGAACAAATAGACACACACGTCCTACATGTCATTTTTTGTCTTATGTGGTGTCTTACGTGTATTTTTCCATGTAGGACTCATGTGTTTATTTGTTTAAAAGTTGAATAGTTAAATTGTTTGTTTGTGCATTATGAAAGTTAGATATCAAAGTTAAAATTTGAAGCCAAGTTTAGGGTTTCAATATATGTATTATGCCATTATTATAAGTGGGAACAAAAAAATTGAAAGTTGAAATACCAAAATAACCCTATATAGTTGAGTTACTACAATAATACCATTATATTATTATTATTGATTATTATTATTATTATTATTAAATAGTAATTTAAGTTCCATAACAGAAAACTTTTTACATACCACTAAAATGTTACTGTAATAATTTGAAGTGCATTTATGAGTATTCCTTTTGCCATTATGATTGAGTTGCATTAACAGTTTTTCTTCTTAATTGCTGAATTTTGAGCACTTAAAACAATTACTGTTTTAGATTAAAAAAACTTAAACATTAGAGCATATGAAGAGAGAGGTTAGAGCATATGGAGAGATTCATACAATATCAATATTTAATTGAAGAGAATACATGGTTAGATGTCACAATTTATTATTTTTCACTTCTTAATGACTTTAATTGCTAAACTTTTTAGCTTCTACAATTAAATACATTCATTCACAACCTTTCATATACACAATTTCTCTCTTTATAAATTGAATAGAAAATATTAGTCCATTACACTTTATATTTTCACATCTTATAGTTCTTATGTAATCTTTTATTGATTGGTCTTTTTTTTTTTCATTTTGTATGGTAATATAGTGTTAGATATTTGGCAATCTTGACAAATCATATAATTGAAGTAGTAATCTTTTTTTTAACCAATAATATAGTGTATCCCACATGATTAAAAGAAAAAGTTTTTATCAATACAATCAGAAATTCTTCAGATTCTATTGATCTTTGCAAGTTGCAACCTTAGTTGAATGTTTTACCAGAAACATCATTTTTACCCTTTAAACATTGTATAATGCATCAATTATTCTAAAATAATTATATCATTTGAAATGTTTTGGTATTAAATAACATGGGATACACGTGCAACGTAAGTGTTCGAGAACTAGTATATAAATAAGAGTAAAGAACACGGTAAAACCAGAGTTCCATGAGACCAGCTGGACCAAGAGGTGTTAAAAAGTTTCAAATTATTGTCACATCTGGGGAGTAGACATATTTAAGTACACTTGACAAATATATTACAAACCCTTATCAGATCTAAAGAGGCAGTAGTACCTGGCATTCAATTAGGGTACCTCCAGACTGGACCAAATCGTCAACAATGACCACATGACAGCCAGCAGGATTACCCTCTTTTAGCCTGACGATTCTCTTATCACCTTCACGCACTTTAGTGCAGATAACCTAAATGACATAATCTGCTGATTACACAAAAGTTCAAGATTGGGTAACAGGCAGAAACCAAAGTAGAAAATTATAATTTTTAACTAACAGTGGGATAATGAACTAGTTGCTTGTGAAACCTCTTCCAAGCTCCATCATCAGGAAAGGCTATAACTATCTGGAAAATAAAATGACATTAGAATGTCACTACAATCAAGATAATTTATTGAAAAAACACATACAAAAAAGCCCAGTAGGACTCCAGCCCACCTTTTCAGAGTTAGGAAGTTGCTGAAGACGTTGCTTCAGCAGTGGAATTCCAGTCTCAAACAGAGGCAGCACATTATCTCCAAAATAGAACCTCTCCTACAGAACAGAGAGAAGTATTTCACCATTAGAAAGATGAAATTTGCAGTATAACTATGGACTTCTCTGGGAACACACACAAAAAGAGCATAGCCTAAAAGCTAAAATAGGATATCTAACATGATTATGTGAAAGAAAAAGAAGTCATGCTTCCAAAAGATCGCAAACTCCAATTACCAATCAAACTAAAGAATCTAGGATACAAATAGCCAAAGCGACAATCACATCAAATAAGAGCGTAACGTGAATACAAAATGTACAACTAAATCAACCTGCAATGCATGTATGTCATAGATAACTAAGCTGGTTGGACCACCCCTTGATATTGGAATATTTGATATTATTCTGGCCATGGTAAATGCAGTGGCCACATCTCCTTCTTCCTCCATCCTCTCAAAGGTACCAGTTGGGAAGAAAGGTAACACAAGCGTAAATGAGGCGACAAACAGCCTTGGAAGTGCGAATATCACAGAAAGCTGTTCAAAGATGACTGCAGGTGAGCTGAAAGATGCTAGAAAAGCAACATGCTGCCCGCGGATATCATGTGCATTGTTTATAAAGAGATTTGGGAAACCATCAGCAAAACTCCTGGTACATGAATCCACATATTGATAAGCATTTGCCGCATGTAAGATTCAATGCTAACAACGGTACAATAATAGCATCATTTCAAAGCTATTAGCATACAAATTGTCAATTGAAAGCCTGATTATTTGGCCAATTACATAATATGCAGGAACTAAATAATCGAACTTTGTGTAACCAATGCAAAAATGATGTTATAACTTATAAGCCTTCTTGTTTACCCTGGCTATTGTTGAAAACAATCACCTTTTTTACCACTAAACTGAAGAAACTAATCCCAGATTAAAGTATAATAACTGGCTAATTGTAGTCTTTCCTCAATTGAACTTTAGTACCAAGCATCTGTTTCACACCCTACTAGAAAATAAAGTCTATGCGTCTGCTTTACCTTAGTCATAAGACTATTCACAACACCAACAAATGAAGGAAGCTTCAAAGGTAGCGATAATGGCTGTGTACAACCCACTCTCCCCATAGTGGAACTATAATGAGTATGTTATTGTTGTAATGACAACATTGTCAACCACAATATAGAACTTTAACCCCCCCACCCTTACCCCCTCACCAAAAGAAAAGCTTTCTACAATAAAAAGGAGGAACCTTGATTCTATTTTGGCAGGAGTGGAGCTACAGCTTCACCTACCGTTCAACAGAACCCAACAACTTCACCTCAAACCATGTATTTGCATTTGAAAAATCCACTTAATTTGTAAAAATAATTAATCGAGAACCTTACCAATCTGCAATTTCCAAAACTCAAAATCCTAGCTCCGCCTCTATTAACTCATTTTGAATTCGACCCAAATCATAATTCCCCCATTTTAACCCTTTAAACATGAAACATCACCCATCCCCAATACACAATCCGAATCACCCCCAAATCCTAACAAGTAAAGGAGGTACCTTTATTCGATTTCGAATTCGACCCACTTATTTTTTCTACATGAAATTCAAGTAAAGACCACAAATTTGCGTATATAGCAAGCAGATGATACAAATACAATAACAAGAGATGCAAAGAGGATTTTTTTTTTAAAAAAAAACCTCCAGTTAATAGAATGGAGGGTAATAGAATCGGATTCCGAAGCGATTTTGCGAGCAACATCTTCCATCTCAACACAGTAATAGAGAAGCACTTGCTTCTTCATCTTCTTCATAGCTGAATTCTCCATCAAAACCCCACAGTAGCAGAGACTCTGTGAGAAACAAGCCGAGGGTTTTAGTCCTACAGCAATTTGGTGTATTATATATCCAAACTAGTTCTCGACATGTTTTGCACGTGAGTCCTACGAATAAATATATATATATATATATATATATATTAGTTTTTGAACACGTATAACTTATGTGTATTTTATATTATTTTAAACTATACGAATACATAGTTACTTATGAACTATTGTGCTCTTAATATAGTCTATGTTTACATTTCAAAGTTTAAATATACAAATGCATGCACAGATCAATTTATATCTGAATTTGAGTTTTATTGCAACAGAAATTTTTCATAAATAAATATTATACTAAAAGAGGTGAATATGCTGGTAATTTTGCAATAATACAGATAGCTAAATCAATTATATTAGAATAGATTTACGTGAAATATACTCTTTTTGGAGAAAAAATCTAACCAAAGAAGGCACATCAAATAATTAGAAAAACTCACCCTATAATACACTCTATAAAGTAATTAATGAATGAAAAAAGATTTTTCATAATAAATATCATTGAGAAGAATAAACTATGTACGACCAAAAATAAAAGAGAAATTTTATATATTAAAATATGAATGAAGAAAAAAAAAAGAATTTACTATTTGAAGATAAAAAGAAAGAAAATTTAATGAGTGAAATAGAGTTCCTATACACAAAAATTGTAGGGATAGTAAATAAAAGTTTTTATCGAAAAAGTTAAATTTATAGAATAAAATTACGGAAACATGAAAAGACACATGAAAAAGTCAAAGGTCAAATACTATTTAAATAAATATAAAAAAGATAGAGATGAAATTTGACTTTAAAAGATCCATGAATCTCATTTAATTTCTTGTCTTTAAGGAATAATTACTCATTTTTATTTTTTTAAAATTGTGTGAGAAATTTGATTGGTCAAGATTTTGAAATGAGAATAAGAAGATTAGTAGAAGGTAAAATAGTAATTCAATTTTTCACTTTAAGTTTCCCATATATATATATATATATATATATATATATATATATATATATTATGCCTTTGTTTAAAATAGTAATTCAACTTTTCACTTTAAGCTTCCCATATATATATATATATATATATATATATATATATATATATATATATATATATATATATATATATTATGCCTTTGTTTAAAAAGTTGACATTTATCCTTCGTTTGTAAATTAAGAAATAATATATTTTTACCCCTTTTCACTAATAGAAGTATGAAAAGATAAAACAATTCTGAAAATTATTTAGTACTACTTTTACGTATGTACTTCTTAAAAAATATCTAAAATCGAATTTATAATTTTATTTATCGATTGAGAAAAATACAAATAGTATTTAAAGGAAAGACATAATTTTCGTCTTGACAAAATATAAGATTTTCTTTTTATTGTGTCATTGAGACCATCCAAATCTCATCTTACATAACAAATATGATAATTAAAATCGATTTACCAATATTATAAAGTTAGTTGATTATTAGTACTAACTATCCAACAAATCTTATTTTAATTGATACGAGCCGTATTCAATATAATTGTATTCTTCAGTATCGTGATCAAAAAATCGAGTATGATAGAATAATTGCGGATATCATGTACAAAAAAATTCCGCAATACATAACCTTGACTAGAATTCTTAGACACAAAACTTCACAATTACAATCAATCAATAAGAAGCTTTTTTATATATTTCATAAACTATAATTTACGTGAAAATCATCCTTATTAATCGTGCTACAGAATTTCAAAATAAAAAATCTAAATATTCATTTTATCGATAAGAAGTTTTTATATATTCAATAAATTATATTTTACGCAAATCATCCTTATTAGTCGAGCTAAGGAATTTCAGAAATAAAAAATTTAAATATATTTTTTTTAAAAAAAGAAAAAGACCTCTAGTGTTCACTATAATTAATTCTTATTCATAACACACCTAACACACCTGACAATACAAAATTGTCTCCTTGTACAAAGAATCACCATACAAAATAGTTGGCCATGAAAAATATTATTTTTTTTTTTAAAAAAAAAGCATCATAAATTGTTTTTTCAATTATCTAAATTTAAAAAAAAAATTAATTTCATAAATTCATTTCATATTCTCCCATTTATATCCATGTTCTCATGTTTGGTGCACTCATTATTAGGGGGCATGTGGTTATATTTCCATCAAATAATTATATGGCATATTCTCCAAATCAATAATATAATATATTTCGCGTAATTTCAAGAATAAAATTTTAAAGAAGATAAAAATATATATAGATAGTTTTATTCCTATTTTGTGATTCGATAAAAGATTATCTTTTTATATTTTATTGATCGATACAACAAAAAACATCATATCCTCTTACACAATAATAATAATATATTTAACGTAATTCGACAAGTGAAATCCATAAAAGATAGAGTATATATACATTCTTTATATCTATATTGTCATATATTTTCGGCTCAAGAAAAAATATTATATTCTCTTACAAAATTTAATAATTCATTTGGAGAATATTTTTGTTCACAAGAAGATGGATGAGAAAATCTCTCGTGTCCAACTTTATAACGGAGATGAAATTCAGAAGCAACTATAACTATATAAATTAAATAATAACCTCAAAAAAATCAAATCTTAAAATGACGACAAAATATATAATTTATACGAATTTCATCATTTTACATAAGATAGAGTATAGATAAATTCTTTATTTCTATATTGTCATGTAATTTTCAACAGATCCTCGATCAACTCAAGAAAAAATATTATATTCTCTTACAAAATTTAATAATTCATTTGAAAAATATTTTTGTTCACAAGAAGATGGATGAGAAAATCTCTCATGTCCAACTTTAAAGCGGAGATGAAATTTAGAAGTAACTATAACTATATAAATTAAATAATAACCTCAAAAAAATCAAACCCTAAAATAACGAAATATATAATTTATACGAATCTCATCGTTTTGTAAATCGATCTGATTCATTCATTTGTAAAGTTATTTACTCAAATCACAAACTTATTATAAGTTTCACATAAATGCCAAGCTGGCATTCCTAATATATCATCAATTATTTTCTCATGCCAAACATTTTTCATTTCTTTATTCAATCTTCTAAAAAATCCTTCTTTTTTCCCCTCACAATAATTCAATAACTTTACTATAGTCCTTTTATCCTTGCTCTTCCAACAACTCCGATTTAATTTCACCGACTTGACTGATTCAGATTCTGACGTAACACGTTCAGATAAACTAGCCAAACTAGTAATATACTCAACCATGCCATTTACAAGACTAGATGGGGCATTACCTTGACCATCCCAAAGCCATATACGCGCCATACCTTCTTGAAATGCCAAAAACATGTCGCGTTTATAATCAGGGCCTTCCAAAATCGAAGGACTTATATGAATTACAAACTCATCATTGTTAACGATGACTGGACCAGTCAAATTCCGACTAGATAGTTGAATTATGACATGTTTGACTTGCTTCTTGATTTCATGTTGATCGTCGACAGGGTAAAGAATATTTTCAACAAATTTACTAGTCCTAAGGACTAAACGTGTTGCTTCATCGTTAGACATGTAAAAAAGATCGAAACGCTTATTTGCAATTGTACCCTTAATGGTTTCATTGACAATAGTTATGGAAAAACCTTTGGAGACTTCATAATTTGCCCATAAAGAGACTATTCCTATAAAAATGACCATAAAAAGTCTAAGGATTATACTTTGATTTGATGAATAAGAAATGATTTTGTGGTCATTTTCATAAGAATTTGTGTTGGTTTTTTGTATGAGAGGTTGAAGGAGATTTTGGTTTTTAAATTCTTCCATATATAGAGAGAAATAACAAAAAAAAAAAAAGATGCAATATATGAAAAAATTAATGTAGAAAGAACAAAGAAATTAGAAGAATAGAGGGTATATTATATAGTTTTATTTTTACATATATATAGACACAATGAGTGGCTACTAAGGGTCCCTTTGATCAACTTCATTTAAAAATATTCTACTTTTTTTAATATAAATTAGGGTTTTTTCATAATATTCAAAGTTTTTTCGAAAACAGTGAAATTTACATATATTTATCATTTTTAGATTTCATTAGTTACATTATTATTGTTTTACTGATAGCGCAAAAATAATACGATTATTTTAAATCACATAAAAATAAATAAAAGTAATCACTGATAATAAGTGGGGTTTAGTAATAATTTGAATTATAGGATGCGTTATGTAATAAAATTTTAAAATTAATTCGTAAAAATGAGTGAATCGATTTAGTAAATAATATTTCATAAGAGATGCGAGGAATTATTTTTCAATCAATACATGCTCGATTAAGCTCATCGTTTTAAACTTATCGAATAGATTATGTATAGAATATAATTTATAAGCTATTAGATAAAGCGAAATTTATCTTGTGGTACAGAAAAGGTTACGTATATGATAGAATAATAATTGAATAACACAATTATGACATTTAATGATTTAAATACTAACACGACGTTGGTGAGTTGTGTCATGTTGACATGTTCAATTAATTTTTTTCCTTTTATTTAATTCATACTTATCTATGTAATTTTGATCATATTTTATAAAATATATTTTTTAATTGTTTGTTTGATAGTTGTGTCAAACTAATCGTGAATTACAACTAAACAATAAACATCACGAGAAGTTAAATAAAAATAATTTTTAATTAAAGATCTTGAATTTCGAAAATTATTTTTATGAAAATGAAAACAGTCAATGTAGGTAGCATTTTTTTTTCTTTTGTGAATCATACATGACGTGAGTTTAAATTAATAAAAACAAGTAAGATATTTTAAATAATGTGCCTGGTGTGATGCTTTCTACGAATTTTTTTTTCATTTCAAATAACTTGAACGCGAAATATTTAATTAAGAGCGACGGAATCTCATCTTATTAAGACACGTACAAATAAGTTAAAAATATTATTCAACGAGGAAACTCAAATGATTTTTTTAAGAAAAATATTTAATTTTAATACTCAAATTATATTCCAACTTGTAAGGAACGACAATTACTGATTATAAAATTAGCAATTATTTTAGCAAAATATATAGTACATGTGCGGTCCCATCAATTGGTGAGAAAATAATTAATTAATATATACACTGAATTTAACATGAAAAGTTTAATTAATTTTTGGATACTAGTGTTTAGTATTATATTTTGCTACTAATCACTCTCCTAATTGAATCAAAGATTCCACTAATTTGTTATATAAAAATATTGACTTTTTCAAAACATGAATTTGATTTGTATTGCGTCAATTTTTTAAATTTTTAAACGTAATATATTTAAATAATATCATGATGAACTCGTAATTAAATCAGAAAAATTAGAGAGAATTTTTTATTTTAAAAAAACATATGATATATTAAAAGTATCCAAAAAAAAATTAGAAGCGATTATAATAACATATAATTATTTTTATTTGTGATTATAATAACATATAATTGTTTTTATTTGTGATGGACAATTGCTTATTAGAGTAACCATAAAATAAGCAAAGGGAGAAAGCAAAAACAATAATAATAATAATAAATATAATCTCTTTTCCTTTCAAGGATTTAGGGTTGATAGTTTGTATATTAAATTTGAATTCGTATATTGAAAGATTTAATTTTGAAGGTGATATTTTTGTTAACAAAATATTTTTATTCTTAATAACTTAAATTCGATATCATTAGAAGAATTTCAATCATTCTTTCGTTATTTTATTGATGCCTTATACTATGCTTGTTATTCCAATGAGTAATAGATCATGTGTTAAGTTTCGATCTCCACATACATGCATGCGATTTATTCAAACACAAGTATCTTGAATATATGAGGATTAAAATTAGGTATAATTTAATCTAAATAAATATATCTAAGTAGATTTACATTCATTTATGATATATATATCTGTATATCAAAATAAATTGTGATTTTTATGTGTTTGAGAAATACAAATTCTTTCACTGTCCACCTAACTCAATCTTCTCTCTCCTCTCTTTCCCGTTTCTCTCACTATATCTTACCTTTCTCCCTATGTATTTATATTTTAAAATATATTTAACAGCGAAATGATAAGATAAATATCCGGTCAAGCAATGTTCAATGACTATAGATTCGTGAGGTATGCACTATAGAATAATTTATGGTTGAGCTTTGTTTAAATTATATACTTATTATAATAACAAAAACAACAAAGTTGTCAACTTTTTTATTTTTTCAAAACTATCAAATAAAACAATTAAGTTTATCCAAACTAATATTTTCAAGAAAAATTTAAGATCAGCGGGAATAAGCAAACTTCTTGACTTTCTACCCGTCAAACTTCTTTGGGAGTAATTTCGCACCTGCTTTCTCAAAATTCTGAAGTAATCTCCAAAAATAGATCAAACTTAAAAACACCATTGAGTTATAAATAAAAACTCAACTAAAGAACATAATAATACTTTTTTTTTTTTGTTAAAAAAAAACTTATTTGGAGATTTTCAAATAATTATAAAAATATATTTAATCAGATTCTTCAAAAGTATCTTCTTTAAAATTAGTATTAATTTAAAAAATCTAATACAAGTACGAGGTTTGACATAAAAAAGTCGAGAAGTGCGCATATTTCCGCTAGTCTTATTTTTTTCTTGAAAATATTAGGTAGGATAAACTTTATTGTTTTATTTGATAGTTTTAAAAAATAAAAATAATTGACGATTTTATTATTTTTATTATTATAATGAATATATAATTTAAATATATGTTAACTATAAGTTATTATATATTACACATAATATGAATCTATAAGACCATTGAACATTACTTAACCCAATTATATTTAATCAGATCTTTATCCCATGATACGTATCTAGATGTGGTTAGCTTGAATTTGATATGAAATTAATAAATAATGAATCATCTGAAATTATCGTGAGAGTGAAAATTAATAAATATAATAAAAATATTTACATAGTCAAATAGTTTTTCTAAATACATGAAAAAATTAAGTTGGAAAATTACATGATTTACACATTGTCATCATTTGTATTATATTGTACGAAAAATAATACAATCTATCTAAATATTTTATTCGTTAAAATTATATACACATTACGATATAATATGTAATAATAATAAATACATTATAAAATAGGTGATAATAATAGATACATTATGAAATAATACTTTAACATTCGAACAATATGATACAAAGGAGAAAGGATTGTAACAGAATTGTCAGCAAGTATGGTGGAAGGATTTTAGGTTTTGATTGAACATCCAAGAACCATTTTTTCAAACACCCATTTGGATATTGGGTCATATAAATTAGTGATACAAATCTCTGGAGTTGAAGGGGCCAGTCGGTGGCTCAATACTGGTAAGTTTTCTTGAATTGTTTATGTTTCACAAATAGAAATGAGCTTGAATTTGAGAAGAATGTATGTATAGTTGATTTAATTGGGTGATTTTGAAAGAAATTTTCAATTTTTGGTTCCGGTAATAAATACCCTTTTTGGCAATTAGCATGATGGTACCTGGTGCGTGTTGCTGGTGGGAGGTATTCATTGGAATTAGTCGAGAAAGAAATGGTTTTTTGGGGGGAAAATAGGTGTTGGCTTCACTTATTAGTGTTTGGCTATGTTGATCTTAGTTAGCAATTAGCATGATGGTACCTGGTGCGTGTTGCTGGTGGGAAGTTGCAGGTGGGAGGTATTCGTTGGAATTAGTCGAGAAAGAAATGTTTTTTTTGGGGGAAAATAGGTGTTGGCTTCACTTATTAGTGTTTGGCTATGTTGATCTTAGTTAGCAATTAGCATGATGGTACCTGGTGCGTGTTGCTGGTGGGAGGTATTCGTTGGAATTAGTCGAGAAAGAAATGTTTTTTTTGGGGGAAAATAGGTGTTGGCTTCACTTATTAGTGTTTGGCTATGTTGATCTTAGTTAGCAATTAGCATGATGGTACCTGGTGCGTGTTGCTGGTGGGAGGTATTCGTTGGAATTAGTAGAGGAAAGAAATGTTTTTTTTGGGGGAAAATAGGTGTTGGCTTCACTTATTAGTGTTTATCTATGTTGATCTTACTAATGTCGTACCCGTGTCCGATTCTCTAAAAAGTAGTGTGTGTTTTTGAGGGTTTGACATACACCTGTCAGCATGTTTGAAGAGTTTGAGCAACATAGGTGTTTGATTGGTGAATGGACAATATAGATGATGATATTGGGTAGTGCTTGTAAGAGCTTTTGGAGTGAGATTGTTGATAATAATATGTACCTGTTGGTCTGACACTGAGCAAAGCTCCTTGAGCTTTGTTCTAGGGTTAAAGACACAACATCTCGAACTGTACCTTAATGACTCTTCGGGATTTATTGGTTATGAAAAAAGGAGTGCTGGTTGGAAAATGTGATACGGAGTAAGAATTGGACTGTGTTAAGGAAGATGACTTCTGCAAACATCTAAATGACTTTTTGTTTATGACTTCTTCTCTGAAAACTTCCTGTCATACTAAACGCACCTCAGTCGTTCTATTCTCTGTTCTGTCCTTTGATCTTGACAATGCCTTGTTGCATATGTCTAAGATTTTAACTTTAACTGTTTAATGCAAGATATGCTTTTCCAAGTGTACCATTTCAGAGGATTTCTGGCTGAACTGTTATACATGAGCATAACTGGCTGACTGTTGGCGTGCAAATTATGTAACTTTGGTGAATTTGTTTACGATTCATTCTTATTCAATCTGGCTTATGAGGCAAAGATGATTTACCTGCTGAATATTCCGTCTTCTTCTAATTATGATTATTCTGGTATTAGTTTTTTCATTTTTCCTGACAATCATCAAGATTGTTGATGAATTAATTAGTCTGTGAGTTTTGTGCATAGCTTCTACTATAAGTGCTGATGAATGTACCTCACTGAATACGACACACCCTTCTGTTTAGGCTTATTATAAACAAGAATTACCATGATCTGCAGCTGCTCTTGTCATCGCGAATGATACTTGGGTAAGATGGGAGCTTTTATAAGTACATTAGTAGTAGTTTTTATTGAAATGAAGTAGCAGATCTTGGTAGTACAGTCTCTGACATTCCTATCAGTGACATTAGTTCCAATGGATTTTAATGTATCGTTAGTCGGTATTGAAGTGGTAGGTACATAAGTTGGTATGCAGTTTTTGTCTTTCCTATCAGCAGCATTAGTTCCTTTGGTTCTAGTATATTCCTTTAGTTTTTTTGACATAATTATATAACCTCTTTTTTTTGCTCGAAACGACAACAACCCAAATTATATATTAAATGGTTTCATGAGATTATAGTACAGATCTGACCTGGTCTTGGCAAAATGTTAACATTAGCGATCCTCAGATAATACCACTTCTCCGTGATTCTTTTTTTGTTGTCTTCCTTCATCTTGCAACTTCTTCGACAAACTTGGGTCCATCAATTGCTGATATTTCAGGAATGCTGGCTAAGTTGAATCAGGAAAAGGGAAAGTGGCATGAGTAGTGTAACTCATGAGAGTGCAAAAATGAACAATGGTACGAAGAACCGAGAGAATCATAAACAGCAACTGTCCAGAGATGTCATGCTGGGTAGTGAGCTATGGACAGATGGCCTGCTTTGTGCCTTTGAATTTGTCCGTGGCCAAAGGAAGACAAATGGCGCGAGAGCTACTGAACATTATGCTGTCAGGGACCCTAAAAAACCACCATTATATAAATATGGTGCAAGTAATTTCTCACCCCAAGATGTTGACAAGGATCACTTCATAGAACCTCATTATCCAACAGAATCTGCGTATGTTGACATCGAGAATGGAGATAGCCAAAGTTATCATCAAGACTATCCTTATCATTCCCGAGAAACGTCTCCTGGTAATTACTGGATACCAATAGGCTGGTCTAGAATATCTGAGCTGCTTCAAACAGTGCAGATTGATAGTGGTTGGGCCTCTCAGCCTGTTGATCTCAGTGATGAGGAAGATGATGTCACTGTAGCAGATGTTGCAGCTCCATACTGGCAAAATCCAGTTGGACCAACTTGGTGGTGTCATGTAGCTGCAGGTCACCCTTCCATAAATGCATGGTTGAGCAATGCTCACTGGCTACATCCTGCCATAAGTATTGCCTTGCGAGATGAAAGCAAGCTGATCAGTGAACGCATGAAGCACCTTCTTTATGAGGTACTTATCTTCTATAAGTTTAGACTCAAGCAATCTGTACTGCTATAACAACTTTGAGAAGACTGAACCTTCTTTTCCTCCTAATAGCATCAGGATCTCTAACCTATTGTATAACCTACCTGGATTGTGAAAGTTTCCTTTCTTTTATTTTTAAGGATGTACAAGTTTATCAGGATCTAAGAATAGGCTATTGTTCCTTAAAATGACCTAAAGGATGGTTGACTCTTGATAATTGTGAAAAGCTTGGTCAAAAGAAATGCAAGTATCCTGTTTTCTTTTTTTTTTTCCACAAAAAAATAATTTATTTGCCTCACCAACTACCGACATCTCTGCAACTTCTAGAAGTTCCTTAAGAGGAGCAGCAAAAGATGCTAGATATTTCTTTCTGAGATCGCAAAAAGGAGAGGTGGGGTGGAACTAGTACGGGCAGTAAATTGAACTTTCTTGCTAAATGGTATGCTTAAGGTTCGGAAAACCAATTTTGATAGAAGAACATTGAGGTTGCAGTTTATCTTTTAACATGGTGACTGGTCATTTGATCTTGTTAAACTGTTTTTTCTCTCCAGTTTGACATGAGTTACATAGTTGTTACCTATCTCTCACAAAATCATTCTTACTGGCTTTATCAACTTATATAGAATCTTCCACTAAAGTATTTTGTGCTGTGTTCAGTGACTGCACGATTTTTCTTTGATTCTTCTGAATTTTCTTTTGTGAACTCTGATAAGACCACCAAAGATACAAATAGAGTGTAGTTTCAACAAATATCTATGAAGGAAATGGATGGAAAATCAAATTACGGGAGACTGCATTTGCTTTTTACTAAACGATTGTTCTAATTTTTAAGCATGCTCTTAATTGAGGTCTAGATCTAAATTCGGACCTGAAAAATATGGTAGGCTACAAAAATTCCTCTGCAGAGCGTCATGGATCTGTAAAAGGAAAACAAATATTTCCTTACATGAAGGTGTGACAATTCATTGAAGGATTTAACATTATAGAATCGACTCTTAACTACAAAGGTAGTTATATTTCTATGTGAAAACGCTGCCACAAATTTGAGCTTGTATAACCTTCACTTCTTGTTGCTTTTGGTGAAGGTACCGGTTAGAGTTGCTGGTGGATTACTATTTGAGCTGTTGGGGCAGTCAGTTGGTGATCCTTATGTTGAAGAAGATGATATCCCAGCTGTTATACGATCATGGCAATCACAAAATTTCTTGCTAACTGCATTGCATGTTAAAGGTTGTGCATCAAATATCAATGTGATAGGTATTGCAGAAGTCCAGGTTTGTCAATAATCATGTTATAAAGCTCCTACTGTCTATGTTGCATTTGACATTACTAGACAGTGGAATAAAAACCTTGAGGCTTGGACATCGTATTGATAGACATCTCACTGTTTAATTATGTGTTCATAGGAACTACTCGCTGCGGGCTCTTGTAATGTCCCGCGAACAATTCATGAGGTAGTAGCACTCCTAGCTTGTCGCCTGGCCCGGTGGGATGACAGGTGTCAATCTTTACCGTTCAGACTACTTTACTTCGTCAGAAGTTGCAACTTCGATTGTTAGTTTCCAATTTGCTCAATATGCCTAGAGCATGATAGCAATTTATATACTTCTGATAGCTTTTGATCAGTCATTTATGTTGCACGGCTGAATTCATCTATAATTTTTGTCACTACTGATCAATGTGGCTTTGTATTCTGATTGTGAATTCAACTAATACACAAAACTTTTAGGTTATATCGGAAGTATATTTTTGGGGCAGCTGATGAAGCTGAATTGAAGTTCATGAACAGGTTTTTCCACTATATATTATAAACTGCTCTTGTGCTGCAATCGAAATTCTGCTGCCTTTGGTTTTAGTTAATGGCATCTTTTATAAACATATGAACTGTCCCTGTTGGACAGGAGAACCCATGAAGATGTGCAGTTGTTCAGTGTAATTTTGAATCAAGAGATTAGAAGGCTCTCGACACAGGTACTTTAGTCTCATCGTTGCAGGAAATTGATCCTCAAAGCATAAAAATATGCTTAATCTAGTTGATGCCCAAAGCCAATGAATGACTACTAAGTATCCATAAACTTCCTTTCATCATTGAGAGGATTTTGTATTTCAGGCTAGTGTTTAAAAGCGCGTTATATGTTGGGGTTGAACCATCATGTTCTCTCTTTTTTCTGCAAGGTTATACGGGTGAAATGGTCTTTACATGCAAGAGAAGAGATTGTATTCGAGCTTCTCCAACATCTTAGGGGAAACGCTGCAAGGAATTTGCTTGAAGGCATACTAAAAAGCACAAGACAGATGATTGGAGAACAAGAAGCAGTTCGTGGCCGCTTATTTACAATTCAAGATGTCATGCAGAGTACTGTCCGTGCATGGTTACAGGTGCCATAAGTCTATTTACATGAGATACATTTACTAGTCTATTTCTATAGCTTGTAAATGCTCTTGGCAATAACTTCCATGTAATCCTGTTGAGCTTTTACTCTGAAATTCTTTAACTTCAGGATCGGAGCCTTCGAGTCCAACATAATCTAGGGGTATTCGGGGGTTGTGGACTTGTTCTTTCTATTATCACGGGGCTATTTGGGATAAATGTGGACGGAATACCTGGAAACGAGGGATCCCCATATGCATTTGCCTTCTTCTCTCTCGCCCTTGTCTTGCTAGGAGCTGGATTGATTGCTATCGGATTGATCTATCTCGGATTGAATAAACCATTCGCCGAGGAGAAAGTTGAGGTGAGGAAACTAGAATTACAAGAACTCGTCAAGATGTTCCAGCACGAGGCTGAATCGCATGTGCAAGTCCGAAAGGATGATTCAGAAGCCAAGAAGTCAGTTCATTCTGCAGGTATAGTGACAGATGGAGACAAATATGTTGTCATTAATTGATCAAAACATAGAAATACCAAGTCTTGCAATACTGCATCGCGATGAGAATCGGAAAATTTTGTCTGATCTTGTCACAACTGGTAGAGAAGGAAGAAAAAAGGTAACATAACTTCTAATAACTGCAAATAGAACAGTTCTGCTGCTTCATAAGTTGAATTTAGAGGGGGGCATTGTTCTCTATTCTCCATGTTCTGTTTACATGATAAAAGGCAGAAAGCGCCTAACTCTAAATACAGTTGAACTCTTATTGCCTTTTCCATATTATAAGTGAAAGGTGTTTTGCAATAATTTGGCTATCATTTCTTTTTCTCTGATAACCTTGCAGCTTGCGTGTACATCGACTATTTCACCAGTTATTTGCTACTTTTCATTTAGTACAAGTAATTCAACTAAGGCTTAGACATATAGAAAGAAATCATATAACAGTTGTCTTTAAACCTTGGTCTCGCGACGATTCTTATACACTTCATGGTAACACCCTTGGGTACATAATTTGGCTATTAGTAAGCACACTGGAATGTAAGGATAACAAAAAAATAGTGCAAATATAGTTACCATATGCTAACAGCAAGGATTTAAACAAGTACATGATACAGAATCAGTAACAAATAAAGTTACTATAGTCTGCAGAATATGAACATTATTATCAGTATCTTAAACAAATAAAAGAAGCTTGTATAGGATCTTCAGCAACTGGAAGTGGACACAGAAGCAGCTACATTATGCGTGTTTGCCATGGATGTCGTGGAAGTCCATTTACAAAAAACAACGAGATGAAACATGATCAGTGAAGATTCATATAGTTGACCTCAACTTGTTCAGGACTGAAGCATAGCTGTTTTATATAGTTTTCTCAGAGTACAGAGACCAACAACATACTCAATGTAATTCTACAAGTGGGATCTGGTGGTGTGGACACGGACCTTACCCTTACCTTGGAAGGTAGAGAGGTTGTTTCGTGCTAAGTAGGTTTCTACTGCTGTGGTAAATGAGAGTACATCATATCCGAGCTCAAGAAGATGAGAGAAATGAGAAATAATGACATCTAGAAACTCAACAATCAGTATGATATCTTGCATATCAGCAACTGCTGAAAACTTACTGCTGGCAGACCCCGCAGATGAATGGTCAATGCGAGTTATTTATATCCAGGTGGACAAACTGGGGAATATCATGAAACATATAAGCACAGCAACCAACAACATTAACGTACCCAGTGTAATCCCTCAAGTGGACAACATAAGTAACAGCAATTAACTGACATTATGCTTAAAAACAAAATAGGTGATACAAGATGCATCAGGGGGGTAAATAGAGAGCCTTAGCTTTAAAGAGATCAATGCATCTTTTGATGCTCTTCACTGTGGAGATAGAAAAGAAATGCCAACAAAAAAGTTGAATTCAAGAATCAAAGACTTTTGGGATTCAAGAATCAAAAAGAAAGGATACTGGAGATATGATTGCTTGAATGTACAATTGAAATAGGGAGATTTGACAGAGTTGTAGAGTGTAGAAATATATTACAAAAGAATATAATGAATTTTATATCCACCGGTGAAAAAAGGCTGTGATATTCTCCTGTTGTTCACAAAGCATATACCTTATTATCTTACAACAACTTGATTCTCTGAGAGAGTGCTTAGAATCTTAGTGAAGTCCTACCACCAACAGCAACCACAAAGAAATGAACTTTGGCCTTGACATCCGCCACTGCAAGGATTGCATAGTGCAAAAAAACTTCAATATACACCAGTTTTTTTCTGCACTATGCTTTCAATTCTACAAACCAATTCAATTTTTTTTGTCAGATATGTTCCAATGAAGCCACTGAAAAAGTGGGCAATGAGAAGTAAAAGCTCATTTGCGTCTGGATCCGATTATACTTACCTCCCTCTAAGCTGATGAACACCGTTGAGAACGTCCAGCGCTTGCTGTATCTTTGAGTTTTCTAGTTTATCTTTGTTTTCAAGTATTAAGGATGAAAATCTCAAAAAGGTGACAAGTTCTACTTCAATATCTCTTAGTTGTTGGTCTATATGCTCCAAAAACTCCTCGTATGAAGATACCCCCTTTAAACTATTGATCCTGTCAGCTTCCTTGGACATGTCCCCACTTGTTGATGCCCCGAGATGTTTCAATTCATTATTAGTTTTAAGGTCTGCATTACCATCATAGGGAGCTTGCAATTCTTGACTATCAGCTAATTTTATAGTTTCCAGGTCAACGTCTTCATTTTCATCTGAATTGTCTGCAATATCATCCTTTGGAGATACTATTCGGACGGGACTTGGAGTCTCATCTATAGCAATCTCAAGATCTAAAGCAACATTTCCAATCAACTGCTTCTCCCTCATAGATATCGCCTGAAAATAGAAAACATCGTGAAAAAAGTAGCAAAAATATACACTCCATCCATTTCAATTTATGGTATCTGATGTTTGAGCAACAACATTGAACAGATATAAGCGCCCAGTAAGGTTGTAGAACAAAATCTTTAAATCCTTTCACATGAGGAAAGAAGCAAAACCACAGAAAGGAATGCTTCCACAAACAACCAGCTTCAGCTTCTCCTCAAGGCACCGTGTTGAGTAGAGATTTGAATCGATGAAGTTTGGTGATAATATTAATTTAGTTTTGATAAGTTCCAATAAGATTTTATCTCGACTACCATAACAACTTCCTCAGCTGAAGGAAAGCAACCACCCTAAGGAGAAAACTAAAAGATATCCAACCATACCTCATTGAGCTTTGCTGCAAGTTCATCGAGCAATTCAATGCGACTCTTTGACTTCTCCATGGCTTGCATAATCTTCTTCTTTTGAAAAAGTAGCTCCCTGGCGTCATTCTCCTTTCCTGTTCGAACACTAATGGCTGCTTGTCGCCGAAATCTCTCTGCTGCTTCAGACAACCGAAGTAGCCTCGATCTTGCATTATTTGCTGAATAGCCAGGATTCTGATCAGTAAGAACTCAAACTGTTCAATAAATCTTATGCTGTCCATAGAATACATGAGCGAAATAACTAAGGAAACAGAAACAGAGACACACACATTGTTGGATAAAAGTGATCCAAGATGAAAATTGCAAACGTAAAGGCGAGTTCACCAAGTTCATGAAATCTCGCATGTAAATCCTCAAATAAGTAATTTGCAAAACGTACAGGAATATTCACACCCAGTAAAGGAGAAATCATTCAAGGGTACGAACTTCAACATCTTTCACATCATGTTTGTAAAATCTCACATGTAAAGCCTCCGATTATAACGTCCTAAAGATAAAACCAAATTCAAACAGAATTCACCTCTAAATTTGACACCCAATAAAGGAAAAACAATCAGAGTTACAAACTTCACAACAATTCATGCACCAAGTTCACAAAATCTCACATATAACAATAACAACATACCTAGTGTAATCCCACCAAATGGGGTCTAGGGAGAGTAGGGTGTACCACCAAGAGGTGGAGGTAGAGGAGGTCGTCTCTCGGAATGTAAATTCAAACATAACCTATCACTTCATTCGACACCCAATAAAGGAGAAATCAATCAAAGACAGAAACTTCACAACATCTTGTACACCAAGTTCGCAAAATCCCACATCTAAATCCTCATATAACAATGACAAAATACCTATTGTAATCCCACCATATGAGGTCTGGGGAGGGTATAGAGTGTATAGTGTACGCAGACCTTACCCCTACCTCGTGGAGTTAGAGAGGTTGTTCCTCGCAATGCAAATTCAACCATAACCCACCACTAATCCACACCCAATAAAGGAGAACTCAATCAAAGATACAAAAAAATTCACAACATCTTATACACCAACATTGCAAAATCTCATACCTAACAAAATATCTGGTGCAATCTCACAAGATAGGGTCTTTGGGAAAGGTACCTTACCCCTGTCTATCTTAAAGCTAGAGAGGTTGTTTCCGAAAGCCATATTCACACACAACCCCATCACTAAATTCAACACCCAATCAAGAAAAATCAATCAAAGATACAAACTTTACAACAATTTACACACCAAGATCCCAAAATCTCACATATAAAATCCCCAAATAAGTAATTTTACATAAAATAAAGCCAAATCCAAACAAACCCATCAAAATCATGGAGACAAAAAAGGGATAAAACCCATTTAAGATGAGAAAAATTAGACAAATAAATTACCTTTATTTCTTGTGCTTTGTGCTTCCTTGTGAAGATGGTCTAATTGTTCCCTTAGCTTCTCTGTATTAAAATTATTTGTGCTAGAAGCAGCTAAATTTACCATTTTCTTCTGAATTTTCCATTGAACAAATCCAGAAAAAGCACAATTCAGTATCATTTTCTTTAATCTTCTCTACTCTGTATCTCCACAAAGAGGGGAGATGATAAAAAACAGAAAAAAAAAATCTTATAACAAAATTAATATAAAAAAATAGTTGAAGAAATAAACAAAATTTTGCTTGGTTTCATTTTATAATTTTGGGTGAGATTCGAGTTTAGTCGGACTCAATAAATTTTCAGCACTCGATAGAAAATTTCGCAAAAAAAAAAGGGTTTAACTATTTTAGTTATGTTAATCCGAGTTTAATTGGACTTAATAAATTTTGAACACAAAATCCCCAAAACATGTTATACGAATAGCTTAACTATTTAAGTTACGTGACCTAACGTTCCTTAATTACAATTTAAGTGTCGAAAAATTATGAAATTTTTAAGGATGTTTTGCTTAAGGAGGCTGTTATATATAATTAGATGAGATTGATTATATATTTTATGTAGTTGACAGACTGTTTAATAGATATTTGAGAGTACAAATAAAAAGAATAAAAAAAATAGGAATTAGAAGTGTCGAAGAGTAATATTTACTAGGGAAAAGGGTCTGATATACCCCTCAACTTTGTTATTTAGAGCTGATATACCCTCGTTATAAAAGTGACTCATATATGCCCTTACCGTTATACAAACGACTCACATATACCCCTGCCGTTACAAAATGACTCACATATATCCTTCATTTAACAGAAATTAAAAAATTAGTTTTAAATTTATATTTGTTACTTCTAATTTTTTAAAAAAAATTATTTATGGGTATATATGATTCTTTTATAAAAATTTAAGGTATATTTTAATTTTTTTCATACATAAATTATTTTTTGACTTCTTTTATTATAATTATTTGAGTTTCTTATTCTTATTTTGTTTTTTCTTTCATTCCTTAGTTTAAAGGGAAAAAAAAATTTAAACTATTTTTTTTTGTGTGTATTGTAATTTAATTTACGTTGGGCATGTAAGCTGATTTAAAAAACCTCAAAAAATCGAATTGATCAAATTTATTATCAAGATAAATTAAATTTTTATTTACTATGATTTTTGATCGATAAATTAAGCATATATCGAAAATCGTTTTTATGCTATAAACATAATAGATGATTATGTTAGTTTTGTTGCAACGAGTAATGATAATATGACCTTTTATTTGCCATTAAACTTGCAATCTATTTATGTTAATGAGTTTAGTGTTTCTTTTATATATAATATGATAATATGTATTTGGTGAGTTTCATTGTAATTGTAATAAGTTTAAACAATATTTTTTTTTTTAATAAATAACATAAGTTAGATTGTCCAACGATAAATTTATTATAAATTACTAAATCTATATTGTTTTATTTAACCTGACGAATAATGACAATTATGCATTTTTTAGGCATTACTAAAATGACTTCATTCCTTTTTCTCGAATTCTTATTCTACTAAAAATGATAAAATTGTTAACTATTTGAACAAATTTTACTTATTAATAATTTTATTTATTCTTATTTCACAAAATATCCTTCTACAATAGTTTCTTTGTAACTTTTTTTTTAAAAAAAAAGTTTCTTTTTAACTTAATTGATAATTCATTATAAAACAACAAATGTTATTAATAGATTACATAACAAAATATGTTGACTTAAATAGAAAATCTCTCAAAAATTATTTAAACAAATTTTTTGTGTGTGAAACCGTTATTATCTCCCACTTTTTTCTTATTTTGTTCCTGGGCTTCAAATTCTATAATCCATTATGGGAAAAGGATAAATATATCCTTTATATATCATAAATGATATGTAAATATTATCCGTTATATTTTTGGATATTAGTGTCCATATCGTTAAAAAATTAGAGCATATATGTCCTTCATTTTAACAGAATACTATATAGGAACATGTGGCACAATTTTATTCGTCGATAAATGTCGGATCGACAAATAAAATTATGGCACGTGTATGTCCGTTAGTGTAAAGTGTATATATATATTCTAGTTTTTGGACGGCAAGAGCATCAATGTCCCGAAATTATGACGGAGGGTATTTATTATTTGCGATAGTTTCGGGTATATTTATCTTTTTTTTCCTTTAAAAATAGATGACTAAAGAACAAATTTCGAAATTAACTAAAAAGACGATTGATTAACTTGAAAAGGAAAGAAATCTAGTTAACAAATACACCCTCTATCCCTATTTACTTGTCCATATTTTCTTTTATATCTGTTTCTATTTATTTGGTCATATTTTATTTTATATCTGATTTATTCGTCTTTTTTAACAAATCAAGAAAAGACAATAATATTTTTCTTTATATGCCCTTATTTAATTCTAGTAAATTTCAAATGTTACTAAGTTGTAATGCATGCTTTTTGAAACCAAAAAAATATATTTTTTATACTTAGATAGTTGCATAATCTTTTTAAGTTAAAAGATAAAATTGTAATTAACCTATGATAATAATTGGTGTCTTAATATGTGTGTCACTTCTAAAATGAACTACTAAATAAAAACAGAGGGAATATAATAATATCCACGATTATGATTAATAATATGTTTCTAAAATGAACAACTAAATAGGAACAGAGGGAATATAATGATATCCACGATTATGATTAATAATATGTCATTACTTATTTTTCTAAATTACAATAACTATAATATATTCCGTATAATTTTATAAATAAAATTTCAAAAAGATAAAATATAGGGGAATTTTATCACTACATTTGCAATGAATAAACTAACTCCTCTTTTAGAACTTGTTTAAGAAAATGTGAAAAACAGACCCAAATTCTCACTCAGTTCAAAACGATCAGAAAAAGCCAGCATTTTGTTACATCGCCGGTGGCCGGAATCAATGGCGTCTCCGGCGATTCAGAGATCAACCCATTTATCATCTACACCCGTATCTTCTTCATCTCCCCTTCAACGTCTCTCAACTTTCAAAGACAGATCCATCAACCCCACCCCTACTGCTACCGTTACTCCTACTCCAACCTCCGGCCTTACCCCATTCACACCTGCCTCTTCCCCTCTCGATTCCTTCACTTCCGATCCCATTTTCTCATCCTTCCTATCCTCCGACTTTGATTCCACACGTTTCTCCTCCGCCGCACTTTCCTCCGGTTCTACCGCTTCACGTATCGAGAAGCTTCAAGAAGGTCTCCGTCTCCTTGACCATCAGCTTCGTCATGAAGTGCTTACACGTCATCATGATTTGCTCAATCAGCTTACTTCATTACGTGCTGCTGAATCTGCACTTTCGACTCTTCGTTCATCGGTTACGTCTCTTCAGTCTTCGCTACGTCGGGTCCGTTCTGAACTCTCTGATCCTCATCAAGTAATTGAAGTGAAGACCCTTCAGCTTTCGAATCTTCATTCAGCTACTGAGCTTCTTCAATCGACAATTAGGACTATTCGGTTGTCTAAAAAGCTTAGGGATCTCATGGATTCGACTCCAGACCCGGAAAAATTGGATCTTTCGAAAGCTGCTCAGCTACATTTTGAGATACTATCGCTTTATAATGAGTACCATTTAGCTGGGATTGATGTGGTTGATTTGGAACTCAAATGGGTTCTTGAAATTGGGCAGAAATTACGGGCTGAAGGGATGAAAGTTTTGGAAAAAGGACTTGAAGGCTTGAATCAAGCTGAAGTTGGGGCTGGGCTTCAGGTGTTTTATAATATGGGGGAGTTGAGGGGAACTGTGGATGGGTTAGTGAGCAAGTACAAGGCAATGGGAGTGAAGAGTATAACGACTGCTTTGGATATGAAAGCTATATCTGCTGGTGGCGGATTTGGTCCGGGAGGGGTGCAGAGAAGTGGGACACCACAGTTTGGGGGAAGTGCAAAGGCGAAGGATGCATTATGGCAAAGGATGAGTGGTTGTATGGACCAATTGCATTCCATTGTGGTTGCTGTTTGGCATTTGCAGAGGGTTTTATCGAAGAAAAGAGACCCCTTTACGCATGTCTTGCTGCTTGATGAGGTCATGCAGGTGTGTGAATGCATCTTTAGTTGATATGAATTGTTTCTAAGAAGTTATATATGATGCTTTTCTTATATTGAGTTATTTGTAGTCTAAAATGGCATGATCACATTAAGCCTGAATATGTTGCCTTGTGTTGGAAATATGGAATTGGTTAAGCTGCAAAATAACTTTATAGCTAGATAGAAACCGAAGACCTGGTTTGAGCCAGCTTAAGCGTGTTATCAGGATCTTTGCTAGAAAGGTTGGTTCCAAATGAAATATATATAATCCTAGGTAGTTACATTCAGGATATCTAAAAGAATACTCTATGGAAAACAATGAAATCATGGGAAGTACCGATAGACTGTCTTCACTACTCACCATTATGTAGTTGTGTTATTGATAATGCGGATATCCTTTTTCAGGGTCCTGATCCTGTGTTTAAGGGTGATTAGTGAGGCAATTAATAGGGAAAAAGTGGTCAGTATAAGTTTCGCAGAAAAAAGTACAGTATGGTGAGTACTGCTTGAGGAATAGTGAATTCTGATAGCAAGTAGTTTCTTCTTTTGGCTACTCCCAGGGAGCCCCCAAGTTTCATGACTTGTGGTAGCATTGAGCTTGAATCTGTTGCTCCGATTTGGTAACTTAGGTTTAGTTAACCTTGTTATGACTTTAACCTTGGTATGACCCAAGCGGACCAACTATGAACAATCATTTTTGGGATTGCATCAACTCTCTACTTAGAGCTTCGATTTTTGTATACGAGCTGACTCAATCTGTCTTTTGTAATTTTTGCTTTTGTTTCTGTTTGCTGCTATTAATGAAATCTACTTCAACACGAAAAAGACCAACTTTGAGCAATTTTTAAGGGAGATTAGCTGATTGTGTCCATAGGGTAAAAGAATTTTCATTCCAAAAGAAATGTATATAACCTTATGCAGTTACATTTAGGTATCCGAAAGCAATATTCTGTGGAAAATGATGAAATTAGCTGTAATCATGCGAGGTAGTGAGACACTGTCAACTCCTCATTATGTTGTTCTGTTCTCATAATGTGGGTCACAACAAGTCCTTTTGTCCCCAATTATAGCCCTGTGTTTGAGGGTGACTTATTTGACAATGAAAAGGAAACCATCGGTAATATTAAGTTAATCAGTCCATGAAATGGTTTCTGCTACCAAGGGTACAGTATGGTAAGTTCTTTTAAAGGAACGGTGAATCTGATAGAAAGTAAGGCTAACAAATCTGTAATGAAATGAGAAGTGTACTTGAG